TAGCCTTGATACAGATAGAAGCTGAAAACTGTGTTCACTTCCTCCTGTTATCTCTCACTGAGCTACACCTTGAACAGTTGAGAATTGATGATAGCATTCCTGATACTTGTGTTGTTTTTTTTCTCCTTGGACTTAAGATGAGAGAATATTTGTTTGTGTGTGAGTGAAAGAGAAGGAGAGAAAGAGAGAGGAGAGAGAGAGAGAGAGGAGAGGGAGATGGGGAGGGGAGGAAGAGAGAGGGAAGGAGGGGGAAAGAGAAAGAGGGAAAATGAGAGAAAACAAGAAGGCTGTACTTGCTCTTTCTTCCACCATTCCGAGTGTAGACTTTCAGGAGCAAAATCATAAAGATTTTATTTTCTTGATGTTTTACCGAATTCTTACCATCATTTATAATTAGTTATTAAAATAGACTCATCTTAAACATTATGGAGGAGAAAAAAACACATTTCAGGAGTGAAATCATGAATTCTCTATCCACTGCATGACCTCCCTGAGAAGTTAGTTCAATATGCAGAAGATCAGAAAAATTAGCCTGACTCGTCCAGGTATGGATTATCTGGTATGATTATTAAATCATCATTGGGCTAGTGTAATAGCAGTTTTTTCAAATTATGCATCACTTTGAGCAAACTTGATTGAAATTTTTACTGCATTAGCCTTAATTACTCACAATAATGATGTAGTGTTCCCTTGATCAGACCTCCTTTGCTGCGCCAGGGGACTGCCGCGGATCAATGGCTATTGAGCAGTTGGATCACCAAGGCTGACCTGCTTGAGCACCACGGGTGGCTTCTACCACCGCCCCCACCCCAAGTCACTTGCAAACAGACACGTTCTTAGCCAACCACTCTCTCCTGCGTCTCCTAAACTGGCTCCTTCTCCAAATCAATAGCTTCATAATAAGCATGCCTCTCAGACCCTGAGAAGCTAGAAAAATAGCCTTACACAGGAAAACTGGGGGGGCATTTTTTAGACACGTGCATGCATGCGTGTGTGTACACACATACCCATGAGAAAAGACATATTTTTAAACCTTTGACCCATGTTCATTTCTCCCCTATTGCAATATTTATAAAATAAGGTAGGAATGTCCCCTTTAAAAAAACTTTTAACAAAGGTCACCTGATTGAAAAAGTACTGTTAGAAGTACAGGCTAATGAACTATTTGCAGGTATTTACCAACAGCCTACACAGTGTCTGTCCAATGTTTTCCATTGGATTGTCAAGCAGTTCCGAGACTGAGTGTGACTAAAAGCACACGGCCTCTCAACCCTTCATTTCACTCAGTAAATATTATTGAGCATGTACTATGTGTAAGGAACTGTGCTAGGTACTTTTGCAGTCATTATTTTTAAATAAAATTTCTAAATAATTGATTTCAGTGTCTTCTTATCGCAATATGTGATTACTTAAATTAATTTTGCTCTCTATATATGCTGCTTAGTTTAACTCTTCTTTCCCTCAGCAGTGGTCTGGGTTTCGAAAACCCCCTCTATAGAAATGATAACCTAGTAGAAAACATGTTGTTCTCTGCCTAAAGCCAGAAGTAATTCTACCTTGCTTATGGTGAAAGATGAAGAAAAGGTATTGCAAAGAAAACAAAAATCAAGTGTTTTATCTAATCAGAAATATATATTACTATTGCACTGGCACCCAAGTACATGAAATCAAACCCAGAAACTATTAACTGCCTACAGTGTGCTTGGCTTTGGTGAAAACTATCCATCTCATCAAATTAGGAGATTCACTATTCTCCAAAAGAGGTAGCTCATCATTGGGGAGACAGATATCTGCCTTTGCTCATGGGCCTATGTCAGAAGTGGGATTCCACTGAAAATCAGGCAGTAAATTAAAAAATGTAGGTTCTAAGCCAATCGTATGACCTCAGACAAATCTCTGAATCTCAAGAGGCGTCTGTGTCTCCACGTGTGAAACAGAGCATTGGCCATGAGCCCAGCTTGTGTGTCTCTAACTCTCTCAGGTTCGTGGGAAGCCATTTATCTATGGGGAATGAAATCTCAGGAAGGTCCAGCTTCCAGCAACTGGAGGAGATATCTGGCCTTTCTCCCTGAAAGTTCTGTTCGACAACCTAAGACCCGGAAACGGAACAAATCTGAGAAATTCTCACAAGGGTCTCATTTTAGTCCTGCCAAGAATAAACAGCCCATTCCTGCATCCTGAAACAGCAGAGTTTTGGCTCAGCTCTTATTACCAGAGAGGCAGGTTTAAAAGTTTAACACCCACCTGTTTCTATTGCCTGTTTGACATATTTGTAAATTATTTACTGGAGACATTAGAGAAAACAAGTCCATGTAAGCACATGATCCCAAGAACGGGTTTTCTCACACTGAACGGAAAGTGGAAGATGGGAACCACCTGTCTTTTGCCCCTGGGAAATATCTGTGTTTGGCAAGTGAAGGCGGAAACACACAAGCTAATTTCTGAATCCATCAAGGGAGGAGGCCTCCAGTGCTTAATCTACAGGGTCAAATAAGCAGTTATCGGGATGGGTGGTACAGACCAGGGTCCACATCTTTTGCTCCAGCCAAGTGATGTCATCCTTGAATTCCAGGTGTACAACGGGTCCCAATTCCAGGACTCTGCCTATCCCGCTTCCTCTGCCTGGATGCCCTCTCACAAAGGGTGTTGCCTGCTCGATCAAGTCTCAGAGCTAGCTTCTTCTGTATCCCTCTGTGACTTCCCCTCCTTTGATTTCTTGTACTCTGAGCTGGCAGCATTTATCTGGCATTTCTGCCAAAAACTTTTCATTTCACATCAAGTGAAGGTTCATGGTTTTATCTGCGAGAATAACCCCATCCCTTCTGAGTAAGATTTTCCAAATGGCTGAGGAAAACATCATTTCCAAGAGGTATTAAACTAGTTCCACATTGATCTTGTACCCTGAAATTTTACCAAAGTTTGGTGGGAGTGCAAATTAATTCAACCTCTGTGGAAAACAGTGCGCTGATTCTTAAAAGAGCTAGAAATTGGCCTTCCATATGACCCAGCAATCCCCCTTCTGGGAATATACCCAGAGGAGCACAAATCATACTACAAAAAGATACCTGTCCACACATGATTATTGCAGCACTCTCACAATAGCAAAAACATGGAACCAACCCTGCTGCCCATTGAAAATGGACCAGAGATGAAGAAAATATGGTACATATACACAATGGAGCATTAAGCAGCCACAGAGAAGGACAAAATTTTGGACTTCATGGCAAATTGGATGGATTTAGAGTCCATCATACTCAGTGATCTATCACAGAAACAAAGAACTGAATACCCCATGTTCTCACTCATAAGTGGGTCCTGAAGATTCATCACAATATTACAAGAGTAGGATCAGCAGTAGCATACTGCCAGGATGTGTGTGTGTGTGTGTGGGGGGGGGGGAATATAACACCACTAGGGGTACCTGATCCTAAACCAGGGGAAGTGAGGACCAGCTGGAGGCCCAAACATCACCTTCACATAGACTACTTATGTACCCCATCCTGACTTGAACCCCAGATTTTATAATAAAGCTAAGAAAAGGAACTAGTCCCAGAAAAATGAACTGTGTAGTCAGACAAGATGGAGCAACTGTCTCCTTCTTGGAAACACACAATGCACAGTGGTCAATATAAGGCTTTAGGGCCCTGCAGGAAGGAAGTAGGTGTAAGGCAAGGGAATTCCCTACACTCCCTTAACCATACATCTTTTATCATGAAACACCCACTCATATCTTGCTGGACTCAGGTATGTTTTCAACCAAACTCATTTTTTTAATTACCAGTGATTGCTGTGAAGGTGGTAGTTATGCAAACAAGTTGAGGTCTCTGCTTAAAGCAACCTTCTAAATTAGAAAATTAATTTGGAGTGAATATCGATGACACATCTCTTCTTGGATTTCTAATCATGAAAGGCATTCCTAAATACTATAATATGCTTGCTACATTTACCAATATACTCACTCAACAAATGTCTATGGAACGTATCATCCCTGCATGCCATGGCGATAGTAAGATTCTCAGGCTTTGACTCTGTCTCTGAGAGATGTTCAATTTTGTCACAGTGGAGAGGAAGTTAAATAGAAGACATTTTAAAGTGTAGTCTATAAGATGGTGGGTAAGGTGTAGTAGGGATACTGGATACCATGGGTGTTTGAAGCGCTATGGCCGCCAGGGCCTTGAAGATTTGCAAGATGTGAATAGGACTTGACTAAGGCCATCCCCAAGCTCAAGTGTCAAGCTGAATCCAAGGTCCACCTTCCTGGCAGCAGGAATGAGCTTTGCAAAGAGCGCTTGGCATAGAGGCTAGTGGGCGGAAACTTAGGGAGCAGAAGAGGGCAGATGTGGAGAGGACCAGGCAGTAGAGAACTCAGGATATCTGAATGAGGAGTTTAGGTTTTATTCATTGCTGGTGAGGACTCTGGGGAATACTGAGGGATCCATGAAGTCATAGGGTAGAAGACATCAATGCATTAGGGAAAGAGATTGTTGTCTTCTCACTCCAATGGCCAAGGGAGGCAGGGACATGTACAGGTTGAGGGCACAGGCTTTAGTATCCTGACTATGCATGAGTTCCTGGGGCCAGTTCTTTATTCTTGGCTTCCTCTTGAAAATAAGAAAACAAGTGCCCATTCCACAGAGTTATTTTATGAGTTACATGAGATAACATATATGAGGCCTTGATGTAAAGGTCAACAATGACTAAGGCTTGATAAAGAGTAATTAATGTTGTTACCATTCAGTTGTTACTCAGTGGACCAGTATTAGAAGAGACTGGAAAGTTTTTCAGAGTACCCCTCCCTCCAGGTTCCCAGGTGATCGTTTTCCTTTCTTAGACTTCCTCCCACTTAAGAAAGCTGGTTCCAAAACAGTTCCCATGTTCAGTGTCTATGGGAGTCTGACTACCCAGGGAACTCTTACCTGTAGTCACCAGAGCATTTCCAGGGGGCCTCCTCCACACTCATCTTCCTTGGGGAGAACCCAAAGCCTCTGAAAGGTGCTCACCTGTGTCCGACGTAGCTGCGGATGCAGCGAGGAGAGACAACACTGGGGCCGGCGGGATGGAAGCACTGTCAACTGCAGTTGGCTTCTTTCTGGTCATCATGGCAGATGCTGAGCCCTCGTTTTTGCTATGCGCTGTGGTCTGGTCCACTTTTAAGTGGGGACTTGGAATTCCTAAAATAACAATAATAAGCCCAAAGTAATCAGTTATTTTAAAGGAACAGGAAGACAGACAACATAAAACCTGGAAGTAATCTGAAAAAAATGTTCAAATAACTCAACCTCCTTCTGGTACAAAAATAATGAAATTTTAAAATGTTTAAAGAAAAAAAAAATAGAATAGCCATGATTGATTTTAGTTTTGTGGCTGAGATTAGGAATGAGGTCGTTCGGGGCTGATTGTCTGGAAGTGGGGGCTGAGGCATAGGACTGATGAAGCGGAAGAATCTACCAGGCATCCTTTTGGCCATGTTTACAGAGGCTGCTCTGTGTGTAGCATGAAGGGAGTTCAGGGAGGATAAGTGGTTCATGCCCTTGGGAGACTTCTCGTCTCCTCCAGCTCAGGAAACAAGACCAAGGAGAAGGAAGAACTGAGCAGCACGCAAGTGCAGACTTGGGGGTTGAGGGCTATTCATCCTCAGTGCTTGGAGCATTCTAAGGATGTAGAGATCAGTGTGGGAGGAAGTGAGGAGAGGATTTGCAGTGTTCATGCTGGAGCCTCAGGGATGTGGGGAAGGCATTCTGGATGCTGAGATGAGCAGAGGCCAAGTCATGGGTGGGGAAGGAACGTGACCCAGACAAAAGGCCAGGCTGCTGGAGGCGGAAGATGCATTGTGGGAATTGGCGTGTAGTGACAGTCTCGAGGCTATGGAGAGCTGACATGGGGGCCTTGGAGTGCCTGGTCATGACAAGGTTCATAAGTCATGTCATTAGGATGCTGAGAAGCCTGGGTGGACCCTTGGGAGGTGCCTCTGTGGAAGCCTGAAGTGGAAGCCTGAAGATTTACTGTATAACAAACTGTAAGAGCTTGAATCCAGGCCCTGCTTCTTTCCAGCTATGTGATTGAGAACAAGTGATTTAACCTCTGCAGGTCTGAGACTTCGTCAACTGTAAAAATGAGATGGTGACAGGATGACCTTGTAGGGGTTGTTGTGAGCCTCCAAGTCACTCAATGTGAAGTGCTTAGAACAGTATTCAGCACACAGTCCATGCCATAAGTGTCTGCCATTATTATTGTTCCTATTATTGCTACTATCATTATAAGAACACGCTGCTCCCTCAGAACCCACCATGACTGGCAAGGAAAGACTCAGTTCACTTCCCAGGCAGGACCAAGGATTTCTGGGTACCTTCTGCATTGTCAACTACAAAATGTGACTCTTCTAAAATGAAGTCCTGAGGCTGAGGGTATCTGAATCCATGCCAAATGGTTATCTCTTCTGAGTTTCTTCACCTGCAGGCTACATGCCACTGACAGCAGCAACAACAAATGGCACTTGATCACATTGTTTTTTACCCTTTTTTTCCTATCCTAACCAACCTGAGTGACATAGGCCCCTCCCAGAGTAACCGTATCTCACTGCCAGATACAGCTTCTCTTAGGTTCATGGCAACCTTGCAAAGCATCGAGCATGGACATTTCTATTTTCTCAGTTTTCAGATGAGGAGCACACATTTCTAAGAGTTTAAGAATGAAATAAACCCATACAGCTCTTAATGTCAGGCCTGAATGTTTCCAGGTAGCCAGACACCCAACCTGGGGATCATGTTGGTCCACCTGGCCATATCCTAACACCTGTCCACGACTTCAATCTGTTGGCGACATGTTTCATGCTGAGGATGCAGAGGGGCTTAGTATCCCACCTGGATAAGGCACCCGCAACCACTGAGGGCAGAAAGTCATGCTAACATGTGCCTTCCCCTGCCTTCCTCCCACTCTCCATTCTGGTCTCTGAAACTCCTGGCTGAGAAAACATCGTTTATGCTTTTTGGATCTTATGTTTCATAGCATTTTGAAGGTGACAGACAGATGGCAAGGCATAACCATCGAGAAGCCAGGAAGTGTCGCAAACATGTATAGTGTGCCCTGTTTGTAAAATATGCAGGTGTGCTTGTGATAGTCTAGGCACAGACATATGCTGTATTCAAAAATTACCGCAAATTATCTGCAAGGAGATACATCCAAACAGTTATGAGTGGTTATTCCAAAGAAGAAGAACTCAGAGACTGAAAAGGAAGAGAGGGTGTTTACTTTTGCTTCTCAGCCTTTTTTATTGTTAATACTTTTAAAGCCACAAACTGTATTGAACTTTTTTCTTTCCATTGAGAAAATAAACACAGTTTGGAAAAAATGCAGAAGCCTATCAGAGCATGGGCATTAGGGTAAACGACTTATATGCCTTCCCAACTGGCTGCTAAAAAGTCTGATGATGGTGAGGGCAGGCATGAGTCTGATGAAAATGTCCCATTTGGTACTCTGCCCTGCCACACTATTCCCAGTACACGGATGGAAGCGTGCTTTCCACTGAGCACCTCTGAAATTCCAAGCCATTAGAGTTCTATCAGATAACAGCACCTTGGAGAAGCTCACTGACATGCCATCTTTGTTCCTGTGTGCACAGGTTGGGCAGGTAATTCATTGCTCAGTTTATGATATGTTCAGGAAATGAAGGCCCACACAGGATTAATAGTTGGATATTTAACTCTCACTTGTGAACAAACAGATTCATTGTACCCATTTTTATGCAGATGTTCACAGTCTAAATTAGTCTCAGTCCACATTAATTCATCAGACCTCTAGTGGGTACAATTTGCTACTCAAGTGTTTATGTTACAGAATATGCTCAAAGTAATACAGAGATACTTAAAATACTTCAGTTCAGATTGTCACTATGAGTTCTCTTGAAATCCCTAGATAATTTAGAATTTTCTAGATTATAGTATTGCTTGCTAGTTGCCACCCAGTGAATTTAGGAACAGATTGGAAAAAGAAAAAGAAAAACCTTGACTTTTCTTCTCAGTCATTTTGTTGGGGTTGAAAGGATACCGAAAACAATCCCAGAAATAGCACAGGCAAGAATATTAAATAAACTTTAAACAAAGGCTACTAATCTAAGAGCACTTAATAACCACCAAATCTGCCCGAGGGCAGAGGTCTCAGGAGACCAAGATGGGAGACTACTCCTTGGGAGAGGGCACTGGTAGGCAGGTCCCCACCGGTGGCATCTGATGCTCCCTGGTGAACAAGCATTTGGAAAGTTTCTTCCCAGAATGCACATAGCTTTTCTCTCTCCATGGGAGAGGGATTTTTGAGACTGGAAGCTTATCATAAAGAAACCCAGATGTAGCCTCATACTGACCAGACCACTGATGTGACACCACAGCTTACATTGGGACAATCTGTCATGCCAGGAGGGCTTTGTTATGGGAAGGGACCACTGTCTCACACTTAGAAAGCAGGCTTCAGAGGAAGCACTCTTGGTAGATGTGCTCAGAGCATCCCTCAACCCCAACACAAGACAAATTGCACTGAGGATTGTGTATTTGGAGGCCAGGATGTTTGTTTAAAGAGGAAAATCACAATGCTAATAATTTTGTGGATTCAACATCTGTTCATAATTAAAAGACAGAACCAGGAGGAAATAAAAAAAATTAAACCTATATAGGAAAACATCCCGTTATAACCTGTTGACCTCTATTGATATATATATTTTAAAGTCTTTAAAACTGGCCTGTGGCCCACGTAGGAAGCGTCACTCCTTTTCAAAGGTAATTTCTCATAGACCGCTTATCCCCTCAAACCTCTACCTGCACACCATGTTTGCATTAGGGACTTGATTTATGGATTCCTGCTCCTTCCATGCAGGAGCTGACTTCCTGTTGCCTTGGTTACTTGGAGCTCAGTTCAAGGTTAAACTACTCCCAAATCAAAATCAGTGGCAGGCGCTGCATCTAGTGGCTGGGTTATTGACTGCCCCAGGATGCGAAAAGGTCAGAGACCAAAGCACTGTTTACTGCCTTAAGGGTGAGTCAATAGCTTCAATATTTCGATTCTGTTTCTTCCGAAGTAGGAGTCGCTGCTCAATTACCTCTTCCCCAGGTTGCTCAAGGTCACGTAGGTCATGGAGGAAAAGCAGGGTCTATGGCGGCCGACTTTCCCAGGATCTCTTTAATGAGCTTTGTGACCTTGGATAATAAAAACCAGCCTTACCTTAGAGAAATGTGTACGTTGTTTTATGGCTTATAAAGCTAGTTATCTATTTTATATCACTTTCCTTATAGGGAAAAAAGCACACAAACAAAAAACCTTTGTGGGATGACTGCTGTTTACTCCCTGTTTCTAGATGAGAAAATGAAGATTAAGAGAGGTCGTAGGAATTTTCTAAAATCACACAGCTGGTAGGAAGTGGTAAGATCTAGAATCTCTGACTCCTGGTTGGGTCTTCACTGCAGTTTCTTTAAAATGAACGAGCTGGTGGCATCATTGCAAAGGAATCATATGTAATTGATTTTGCAACATCCGCTGCAAAGCAGTCTATCTGGCAGATAGTATGTGATTAATACAGGCTTGCTGAAGAGCTTAATTAATGTTCTAATTTTAAGATTTGCAAATGCAGATATTTCCTGGTGACAAAGTCTAGGCTGGCATGGTGAAAGAGGTTGACACCACTGGGACGAGTGGTCCCTTTAGTCATGTCCCCAGCTCCCTTGACACTGCAGAATGCAGGTTTGGGCATAGACTGGGCATTATGCTATGCTGAGCAGATAGTGGTTTTTGATCTTACAAAGAGCTTTAACGTGCATTTTGCTATTTGGCCCTTGCAACATCCCTGAGGATGTTATGAGGCAGATGGTAAAACCCCTAATTCGTAAATGAGGAAATACAGGCATTGAGGACCAAGTGATTTGCCCACAAATGATGCTAAAATCTGCTTTTCTTGACTCAATTCAATGTTCTTTCCTTTCCCCATAGCACATTAACTTTTGGGTAAGGCAGGAAATGATACATTTTTCACAAGAGAAAACTGCTCTCAAAGATTTGGTAGTCATTCCCTTGCTAGTGTAATGGTTTTCTGTTCAGATTCTTCTATTTCTCCTATCAAGTAATAGTTACCCTTAGGATTTGAGAAATAATATTCTTCTGTGCCAAAGTCAATAAAATTTTTTGTTGTTGT